CTTCAAAGAGTATTTAAAAGACTACTGGAAGGAAAGGTGTGAAAAAGTGGCACTGTGGGAAGCTAAAAATAATATTACAAATAGATTGAAAAGAAAAAAAAGGGAAAAACTAATTTACACTAGTCGAAAATTGATAAATCATACACACATCAGGTATCTGATATGTATATGGTACATCCTTAATATCGGGCATATATTGGGTACCCGATAGATATAGAAAATATTTTTTTATACTTATCGAGTACCCAATATATATATAAAATATTTTCTACACCTATCGGGTACCTGATATACATCCTATAAAAATAAATAAAATAAAATAAATAAAATAAAATAAAAAAATAAAATAAAATAAAATATAATATAATAAAATAAAATTGAATAAAATAAAGTAAAATAAAAAAAAATAAATAAAATCTAACTTTAGATAAAAACCTCAATTACTAAATATATTATTATATTTTCATGACATGGATAGATTTTCAATTTTATTATTTTTTTAAATTATTAATTTAAAGACTTCAGAAAATGGTTCTAGAACATCTAACAATATCAGAATAATAAAATAGTTTCAACTTATTATTTACTGATTTGTATATTTATTTTATTAAATTAATTCATTTTATCAGGTACCTGATATGTGCATAGTACGTCCCTAATATCGTGCATATATCGGGTACCCGATAGGTGTAGAAAATATTTAATATATATATCGGATACCCAATAAGTGTAAAAAAATATTTTTTTTATTCATTGGGTATCCAATATATACTTGATATTAGGGATGTACCATGCACATATCGGATATCTGATATGTGTATTTTTATCAATTTTCGACCAGTGGTATATCTTATTTATTCTTTTAATTATATATATATATTTGCTCACATTATTTTTTTCAATAAGATGCAAAATATACAAATTAAAAAATTTAAATAATATTAAAGATCAACAAAAAACTTCTGACATCAACACATATTTAAGTTGGAAATATATGTACGAAAAAATAAAAGTAAATTTTTTAAAATATTTATGCATGTTGCAAATTTATATATGAATACAGATAATCTGTGTACTTTTATTTTAAATAAACTAGAAAAAAAATTTACAATATTTACAAAATTGTTAATATTTCCTTATTTTTATATTTATTATCAGAAATCTTATTGTTTTACACTTTTTTCAGCATGTCATATAGTTATTTTTTGTTTACATAATCAAAAAATGACTTAAATTAGATTATTTATAGTCTCAGGTGTGATGTTCATCATTACACTTAGGTACTCACATCCTATAAAAAATATGATGATGAATTTGTGTTCACGTCATCACACTTAAATACCCATATGTAATATAATATATATCTGTTTAGTAATTGTAACTAATTTTTGCCATTAGGCTACATGGATAAAAAATATATTTGATGATGTATCCAATCATATATTGTTATTTGTGAACCCGATGTGAAAGCTATGCTTGAACTGGACATGTAGAGCCCTAGCTTTCTGTTTAATTCCTCTATAAGAGCCAGGTTTGAGACACATAGTGCTGAAATAGTATTCATAAACTGGCTTACTTGATGAACTTGAATACTGATAGAGGATAAGGCACATAGTACTAAATTGTTAACAGTTGTTAGTTTCATATAATTCATTCAAATATCACTCAATAATGAAGCACATAGTATTAAATTGTTAGCTATTATAATGTACTCAAGTATTGATCAAGAATGAGACATGTAGTGCTGAATTGTTAGCAATTGTTAGCTTCATATAATTCATTTGAATATTGTTCAAGAATGAGGTACGTAGTGTCAAATTATTATCCTTACTCAGTAACCCATCAAGGTATAATTTTATTATATATATATTTGTAATAATTTTACCTTAGTGTCCCACTTTTTTTACTCAAAATAATATTATTTGATAATCTATCAAAGCACAATTATATATATTTTTTATCTGTAATAATTATTCCTTGATGGTCGAAAGATTTTTAAAATGCTATTCCAACTTTATATATTATATATGCACTCTATTTCAAAATGCTGACATTTTATTCAAAATAGCACTCACTCACTGAAAAATCTTTGATACCTTACTTTTTGCTTGAAATATCACTTATACTAAAAATCTTTGACGTCTCATCAAAGTATAATTTTATATATTATATACATACTTTATTTCAGAATACTGGCATTTTACTCTTTTTATTTGAAATAGTACTCATACTGAAAAATCTTTGGTGATCTATCAATATATAATCAGGAAGTACAATATATCACATTTGACCTATCAAAGTACAATAATATAATTTTTTTATAATAATTTTAATTTGGTAATCCAAAATTTTTCAGCATAAATTGTCTCTATTGATACTATTCAAAGCATATCACATACGCATTATATTTTACAATACAATTATTTAACCTATTACTTATCCAAAACTGTATCTTGATTAAAATTGTACAATATAAAAATAGTCATAGAATATTTTGTATATTTTGTAATGCACCATTTACTTTATTTTATATATCAGATTTTTGAGATCACGTGATACAAAAATAGTTATTAATTAATTTACCTTATTCCATATATCTCTAATGTTTACATGAAATTATTTGGCAAATATGTAAATCAAGTATCTATGAAAAGACAAAGTATCAAAGTATTAATTTTTATTTGAATTTTTTTTGCACTTGTTGTAAGAGACAACAAAAACCCACCTACCTGAGATAAATAACTAGTTAAATATAACAATCCCTCTCCTTCAGAAATTACTACTTAACTAAATAATATTATCTTAATATCTTATACCTGCTTTGCTGAAAGATTTATAACAATTATGCATATTTAATAATTACTAAAGATTTCTTTTTCAACTCTTTTTTGTATGGAGTAGTGGGAATATTCAATTTAGCCTCAAACTTCTACTTGTAATTCAAGAAATTTGCTTCACTCATACTTTCACATTCTTTTTTTCAGTAATTATGGCTATCCCATATTTCAAAAGTAATCTTGAATCTTTATTGTTCTAACTTGAGACATTTGAAATTTTTACTATAAAAGAAAGATTAGGTGTCTATATCAAATTTGTTTTTGATGAAAAGTTCTAAAGATAAAGAAATTGTTAAAGGCAAATATAAAATGCCTAGAAATTCAGATATTTTTTTCTCAGCTGTACCAGCTTCATCAATAGTAGTATTGACATGGCATATATCTTGAGTATGGTCCTCTCTATGTTCACTTATTTTATTTAAATTAATTGATTGATCTTGAGCTGGCATTTCTAAAGATAAAGCTTTTTTATCAATTGTATTATTAGATGAGTCAGAAACTTCATGCTCTGTACATTCTGAAGTAATATTATTGCAATAAGTATAGAATTGAAAAGATCCTGAGTTTCATCAATCAATTTTGGTTTATATGGTAAAAGAATTGAAGCTATAAGAAATATTTAGGATTACTCACCTTTATAACTGTTATTTCTTCTTAAGTTATAAAACCAGCTTCACTATATGGTTTACAATAAATTCAATAAGTGCTTTTCCATATTCTTTGATCTTTCAATTCTTCTTTTTTTCATCCACTCCTGATAGTATAACCATACCAATTATTCATTATAGCATTAATAAATTTTATTGTAGCATTGAGATCAGGCAGTTCTTTAACTCTGGTCTTAAACTCAAAAGCAATAATTGTAACGAGTTGTCCTAACTCATTTATAATTACAAGTAAAGAAAAGTAAATTGAGACAATTTAGTCAAACAGAGTATTTAATAAATAAATAAATAATTATTTGAGCAGAATGAAATTTACCCTTTTCTTTATTATTCTTATGCCTTATTTATATAAAATTACAAAAGTAAAAATACATAATAAAATATATAAAC